TTGATATGATTGATTATGAGCAACAAATTGTGCTCGAAGCGTCATCAGTTAATATTACTGTACAACACTGTGAGACTTTATCAAAACAAAATTTACCCATAATGGAATGAATCACAATGTTCAACTAGTTTTGCTCTGAAACATGTCATTGTTGAATGACCCTAACTGATGTTTGCCAGTAGGACCCATTATGACATCATGACTGCGTAATCCCACAAAGTAACAAATTTGAATGAAACGGTGGTAGTGCCCCTTGTTTTCCAACACTTCTCTGGTTGATATCCGTTCATGAGGGAAACTTTATTGGAATCAATCGATTCTCCAAAACCTTTGAATATTCACGCGATAATTATATATATATATATATATATATATATATATATATATATATATATATATATATATATATATATATATATATATAATCTCTTATTCCTAAAGCAAACCTTATGACTTAACAATGTACACCAGAGTTTGTATTTCCTTACCAAATACGTACCCTAAAATAGGGAGGCTGGGAGAAGTAAATAAATTTATTAAATCGTGCTTATTTTACACTTATAAATTGTTTTGAATTAGTATGTAGAAAGAAATGTTTTCGGAAATCTGAGGTAAAATAATTAACTCCCATAAACGCTTAGAGGGAAAGAGAGATTATAAATAAACGCAGACCTAATTTCTGAATTTTGAATTGAATTACCGACAACCTGTGCCTAACTCACAGTGTATGCTAATTGTAGAAATATTAAGGTGACTTATATACCCTAATAAACCTAAAGTTTTAATTCATAACTTGGTTAAGGTGTAAAAAACACAACAGAGTTTCTGGAAGACTGGATTATGCACACACATAAATAGGCCGATGTTTGGTAACAGCTTCATCTATGCAAGTCCTAAGTGCTAGTCAAAGTTTCTTGATCAATTCTAGAATGCACCTAACCACGTGGTATATAGCATTAGGGACTAGTCAGTCTTTTTTAATTTTGATGAAATATTTTATCAAATTATTATTATTGGCATTCGAACAGTACAAATTTAGGCAGTAGGATAGCAATTGTATTAATAAATAATAATAATTTTTCCTTCACATTCCCAGTGGAACATAGGGCTTCAAGCCATTGGTTTGAAGTTTCTGTAGCAGTGTATATTTTTACAGGATGGGGTTGCTAGCCTCATACCCAACCTTTCCCCTTTACCAGCATTATTTCTGGCCCAGTGAGGTGAAGGAGTGCGTCGGCCGGGGATCGAACCCCGGACCATATGCATGGTCGGCGAGCGTCCTAACCGCTATGCCACCGACGCAATTGTATTAACTACGCTTTATACGAAGATAAAGGAATTGAGGTGATTTTGTCATTTACTAACGATACTATGAATTACCTAATCTGATGAGGCGCTTAGAACTTTTTCTCGTCATAAAGGAACTCGTTTGAAATTTCATATTCTACTCAGTCACTGTTGGGTTGTTTACATTTTTTCCAACACTTCAGAACTCTGAAGAAAAGAATAGTCAGATCACATGGGAAAATAAGAGACGACAAAAGCTCGAGTGATGTCTTGTCTAACGTTCAAAATGAATGTGGCTAATTGTTAGTCATGATATATCCGTAACCATGATACCTTCAGTGATAAAATACTTCAGTAATGCAAGCACTCAGTCACTCTTTGATGAAATCCGACTAATCCTATTTGAGTCATTTGCAGTAAATACACCCATTTCCTGGATAAGTAAATTCGCAACATTTAGACATACCTACACGATGGCGCTAATAAACGTTAACATTCTCAGGAAATAAAGAGCAGTGGAAAGAAAATTTGTACTAAGTACCTTACATTTTCAATAAAAAACTTTTCTATCACAAATGATTGCAGAATATTTGTGAGAAATAATGACCTACTTAAGGCTACAAAATAGCTTGCTCTAATTGTTGAAATTTACCACCTGAATGAAGTCCCCCTAGCTTAGTGAATTTATAAAACCAAGCTTTTTAAACAATTTAATGGCAGAATTCCTACTTCTGCTTATCCGAACTGACATGCCACTTAACTCGATAGGTGTCTGGTGTTCTACGAATACTTGCTAATATGAAAACTCATTACAAACTTCACGAGATACAGGAATGGATTGCCAACAGCTCTTAGAGGACAATAAATTCATCCATAGGCAACGTTAATAAACACCTATGATAAATTACTGACTAACGAATAGACCACCTAGATTCAGCAGCAACATCCTATTGGCTACTCATTTACAATGTGAAAATCAATCTAATATCTTATAGTTATAAGACCCAATCAACGACTTCATTTTCAGGCTGTACAGTCGTGTTTATATTACGGGAATAGGCACTAATCCGTTCACTTCAACTTTTCTATTCTAAACATCGTGTTAACTGTCTTTATTCTTATATATATATATATATATATATATATATATATATATATATATATATATATATATATATATATATATATAAGAATAAAGACAGTTAACACGATGTTTAGAATAGAAAAGTTGAAGTGAACGGATTACAAAATTTTAAGGGATTATTATATAAGAGATCTGCTATTAAGATTTTAAAAGTAGGTTAAAAGAATCGTCAAAAAATCAAAAGTGAAAGGATGATAGCAATAAAGAATGCGAAGTGGAATGAATTCACGCCGTAAAATAGGATAAAATATAGAAACACATAACTACAACCAAGATACACAAAGGGGTTAAGCAAAACGTTTTCGAATGCATAATTTAGGTTTTCATCATTGTACAAATAGAGCTTTGGTTATACATAAGTGGAGAAAAGTAAACTTTTGTAGTGACTCCATTTGACCAATACAAAGGAACTTACCAGTCACGGGAAAATGGTGCAAAATTTCCAGGGTGTGGGAGGCGTATACCAGTTATTTCTTTAGTTTACTCTAAATCGTCCCCTTTTGCACAACCTGCTTCTTATTTACGTTGCCTACGAAGTCCTAATGGTTGTTTTTATGAAGCAACCTATAGTGAATCAAGTTTTATATGCAGAGTTATGTATGAAATACAAGGTAATTTTTAGTAATCACAATCCCATCTCCTTTCTTATCTAAACTTCCTGTTTATTCATGTTATTTCAAGTTTTTCTTAATCCCTGTTTACACTACCATATTTTCATACCCGAACTTCGTGTTTATTTTTTCATTTTACTATTTCTACATATTTAATCCCTGATTGCATAAACAATTATTCATCACATTAGTTTTTATCCAAACATCCTGTCTATTTTGTTATTTCTACATTTCTAACCCCTAATTGCACAATGTCAGTCTTCTTAGTTGTTATAATGCTACTTTGTTTGTTTTATCCATCCCCCTGTTTATTATGGCATTCTAATTCCCAATTTTAAACATATATTCCTTCAATCCACTAAGCTGTGTAACTGAAAGAACCTAATATCAGTAAACTAAGCCACTCAAACAAGTGAAATTACGGTGATCATCTTCGAGTCTCTCAAGCTGTATCGTAATATTATTCAGTAAGAATTCGAAATAGCATTTCTGAGCGCTGTACTCAGCAAAGTTCTATCGCGGACAGCATACTATGGCACTGTTTACATACGCTCTAAGTGAATTTGAACATTACTACGACCTATTAAACTTCATACTACTCCCAACTTTAAAACTTGCTTTAAGGTGAGACATAGTGAATTTTTCTCTGTGAATATGGGATGATTATGAAAAGTGAATTGCTCTCGAAACATCATTAGTAAATAAATAGTACTGCGTCATAACGCTCTGTCAGATAAAGTTATTCTATTATGGAATTATACACTACAAAATCGTCTAAGCTCTTATATATACGTTTTTTTATACGCTTACGTCTTCTCTCTGTAAACTAGATTACTTATAAAATAAACTTCTCTAATACGCCGCAGTAGACGGGAAAGTATGCACTTTGATTCCTTGTTATTTGGTTGGTGATGGAAACATCTTTTTGTGGTAAAATAGAAAAGAATAAAAGCATACTCAACTGTAGTAAGATTAGTAATTCTTGGGAGAAGAAACAAGAAAATCTGTTCAGTTGTATTTGTAAGTGGGATCGAATACTACTAAAATCGACATTCGCGTTGCTGATGGGCGACCAACCCTCTCTAAGATTATTCTGATTTATGTACTAGACATTAACACGTATGAAACCGATGAATAGTACAGAATTTCGAAAAAACCTCAACCGCAATCCTAGGTACACTTTCAAGTCACGCAAATAAACCTCCTAATCTATTAGAATGAATGAGAAATACATGATTATACGAAATGTTTAGTCATGAGGAAACATTATATTCAACTGGATAGCTTAGGACATAGTTATCCATTACCGGACTATGACCCTCATCTATTTATTGTGGGGGCCGACGGTACTATCCAAACTTAGGCAGGTGCAGCAAAATCTAGATCCTTAAGCCAACGATCCACAACCTTACATTCAGGCAGTTAATAATGATAACACAGTGGTATCCATATTGTAAAACGCAGTGTAACTATCAAGTGCAAGAGGCATTTATCCGGTATGCATTGCGATTAGCGTCTGGCTATCTCACATAAACATCAGGCTTGATGAATACTAATGTTGTACAACACTAGTATTAAGCACGAAAACGTTAATTCATCATACAGGAACAAAAGTCAATCGGAGACCCCTTTTTTATATCAAGCTTACGAGACCTAAAGGAATGCTGTTACATAATCCTAATATGGGTACGTTTATGGATGATATATGAGCGGGAACAATTGTCCTTTGGATACAATTAACATGAACTTTAGCCATTCTCTTTTGCTAGGTCACATGAAGTTACTATTCGTATTTAGTATGTTCAGCCTGCTATTGGACATCATGCATGATGTGGAAGTATACATCAAAACACTTCCACGCTGCGACATAACATCTTGTCAAAACATAATATAAAGCACTCATACGTTTAGTCGTTATGATTCCATCAACAAGAAACCAGAAGAATAAAACAAAGATTGACCCAGAGAAAAATCTATTTGCAAATGATTATTCTGCAGCAGCAGATTGACGAGCCTTCAAGCGTTTTCCGTATAGACGAGCATTAGCTCTATGTTGACGTATGGCATGGAAAGCCCGGTATTTAAGTTCAGATGGAGTTGGTTCATGGGCCTTCAAGTGTTTAGCTCTTTGAGTGATCGGGAATATAGGGCGTCGAAGTTGGGTGGCCTTCTTGACATCGTCAGCCTAGGATGAAAAAATAGGACAAGGAATAATGTACTCATTATTTTTCCATAATATAATGTCTCAAAAAGATTCTAAAACCGTCAATTTCTCAAAAACTATTTTCGCGATGGAAACAAACTATTACGAATGTTGACGTCTGAAAAATACAAACGGCTGCACACATCTATAACGAGCAGTTATCTGCTATTATGCACATGGAAGCAACATTAGTAATGCATATAGCCTAATAAGCGTCAGAGTGCCTATTCGCAATTATCCCCGTATTGTTTGCAGAGGAAATGAGCCCTAGATTGAATACTTTTACAAATCTAACGATAGTTTGTAACTGCAGATAAATATAATAAGTAGTACATTGCCCTTTGAAATTCTCATGGGTTGAAAACTTTTTAGTGCTGAACTTATGTGGTTGCTTGGGATGGAGTAAGATTTGGATCTAAAAACCAGATGCTATAGCTGGCAAACACCGTCTTTAAAAAAACATGAACAAAGCGAAAACTGTCACTAAGTTACTGACACAAGACGAACTTACTCATATTATAACGCTCTAAAGCGTCACACCTTCAAACTACACTATCGATATATTTTACCTGAACATATGCATAATACGAAGATCAGAAACTAGTCCACTCTAGCTGGTCCCAGTCACCACGTCTGCATATGATTATTAGAAGTCAAACATGTTAACTGTCTGTTCATTAGGTTACTTTAGACAATGGGACTTTAAGAAATGTTCAACAAGTCACTACGTAGACACATGAAATTCCTTATGGAAAATAAAACGCTAATTAAGTACCTTTATTTCGTCATGCAATACTTGAGTCACTCTTAGTACCCTAAATTTCGTGATCAAGCAGTTGTACCACGTCTCATGTCGAGCAAAATACGTGCACCAAACGACTGCAGTACTCAATGTAACTGACAAGTTTTCCTACCATGATATCTATAAGTAGGCAGGCAGCTGAGCATTAATGCTTCAGACAATTTTCCGAGATTATGGTTTAATCCCAAACTTTTTAGTCGTAATCTTCCAGACTCGTAAATGCCCTGAAACAAGCAACCAAATTAATGTGTCCTGTATACACCATAATGACAACTCATGACATGCCCAGAATAACAAAAAAAAGGAGACTAACCTTTGCTTCCATAGCTTGAGGCTTGGCTGGATTCAACGGGAAGAGTATAAGTCTGGCTTTGTAGGCCTTAAGTCTAGCGACATTCCGTTGTAACCCTTCGACAGAAACATTTCGTCTTCTGTGGTCTACGGAGATGCCAATTGTTTGGGCGAACTTTGGACTTAAACCAGCAGCGCGTATCTCTTGAAGCGTAAAACCACGACCAGCCCTAACTTTCATATTGTATCGGAAAGTTGGACAATTCACAATGGGACGAAGTGGTCCTGAGGCCGGTCTAGGGGCAATGCGTTGAGCTTTTGCTTTCCTGGCCTGACGTCTACGTTCTTTACGGGCTGGCTGGTTGAACCAGGTTTTTACCATAAACTGCCATTTCTTTCTGAAGTGATTTTTATGCAGTACATCATTCCCATGCACCATTTTTCAAGGGCCAGAAAACCACGAGGAGGATTGTATCTTTCGTCACACCGCCAACTAAACCCAGTAACTAAAACAAAGGTTGTATGTCCAGTCCCCAATGTGATATCTCAGCTCCAAGTTCTCCGAAGATGAAAATGCCGAGCTAATACATCGGATTATCTCTCTGAATATCTAGTGTTACTGAAAACCAGCCTCCGTTTTTTTGTCGTCAGAAGATGATTTGTCAAGATTTGACTAATATCCCAGATTAGAAGCTTAGTTTCTGTGGCAAAACAGTGAAGAATCCGATAGGCCTCATTATTTCTTGCTATAGATATATGTATGAAGACTCATGGTCTCCTTGAGAGCGTTCACAGACTGGCAAATACCACATGGTCATGTATGGAGTTTCAATTATTGACCACTCCCTGTGAGCATCTGATTTCCACCTTCATTCTGTTTGCTCGTCGTCTGATCTCCTACTCAGCATGAACTCTGAAAGCTATCCTACACGAAAGAAACGGATGGTTACTTATTCCTAACTCATTTAGTTTACTGTGAAGGCTATAGTGGGATACTTATCGAATACTTTACTAACGGTGGTAAAATCTGCATGCTTTTGGTGTCTTTTATTTTTGGCTTCTACGGAGTATCCTCTAGCTTCCAGTGAGTTTTTATGGTAGAATCGTCCTAGCCCGAATTTCTGCTGTTGCTTCGCTGGTTGGAAGCACAACATTACGTAGTACTTAATACCCGACGACTTATATTTCACGTCCTGAATAATGTATATCAGACTTAAATGCGGGTAATCTGGTGCCAGTCGCTTGTTCCCCTTATAGTCGCTTGACTTTCGGTGGCACTGTTTGAAATGTTGGCGTGAGACAGTGTGTGGTGAAGTTTTCCATCTCTACTTTATGTGATATGACTTGCAAGTACCATTAGATTACCATTTATTTCAGTTCTGCTTCATATATATTGTTTTGGCTTTGCAGGGCGATATGGGCTGTCTACCACGGAACATCTGTCGAATGCTGCATGCATTTTTTTCATGTAGCTGCCCGAGATAAGTGCAAATTTCAAAGTGATGTACGCCAAACCTTTTCCAGACTGCTTCAACGATTTCGCTTCCTTAGCAGCCTTTTTATTTTACTGTCTGCACTGTGTCAGCTGTTGGCCGGATCAGGGTGTAAGAGGTGATGTGACGTGATGAATTCCGGTGTTTTCCCAAATTTTCCCGCAGCTTGTAAGATAGTTCTGCCATTCTTAACTAACCAGTCATTTAGGCATCTTGAACTCCTGGTTGCCAGTGTATCTACTCACCAATAGTTTAAACTAATAGGTATGGAAAGTGATGAGTACATGATCGCTGCTGTCTGATGGTTAGAGATGCGTGATATCACTGAAATCCCACATTGAATGTCTCTAGAAGAGAAGGATCATGCTGCAAGTCACCACATACTCTACGGGTACAAACTACATGCTCTCAAGTGGCTTTAGGGGAAGTTATCGATTTGGAAGAGGGGACTTCTGTATTTTGCCGTGATCTCTGCAATACGGTGTGGAATCAAGCTGTAATCAAAAAAATCAAAAATGAAGCCAAAGTCGTATACATCTAACACTGTTGGCATAATCCCAGTCTCCACAAAATCAGAGATCGCCCGTACTCTCCTTGAGATTAATGACCATCAATGCTCTGAAGTGGATGCATCCCGGTATGAATGAGGCGAAGTCCACATTCAATAGTAGCCATGTTTTGGTAATAGTCATAAAATTGGGTTTAAGATTTCCGGATATTTGCATCCATACAGGAAGATTGTTCAGATAAGCAAAGACGTTCATACAGCTCACGGAGAAACTAAGTGTCCAAAATCATAAACGCTCAACAGACTTGTTTATTCGAGCCAGTTTCCTGTTTGCTGGAGGCTACGATGTCTGTAGTGTCATAGATGTTCCCTCGTTGACTGAAAACCGGATTTTTCGGGTGTAGTGATAGTAACCAACTGTAAAGAATTTGATCAAACTGCTGTGTAGTTAACCTGCTACATTTATACCCAGTTGATCAATAAGTCTTTGGCTTACCGTTCATCCTTTAATCCGGTTTGCGCTGAAACCGAATTAGTTATTGTATATGTTAAATAGTATTCTGAGTTTCTGAGAGACGTCTTCTGGCTACAGCGAATTGTCCTGATGCCGTTGTTGACAACAGGTTTTAGACAAAAGTACCCTTGACAGAAAACCGATTTTTCAGGTGTTAACTACTGTGTAGCAGTCGAGGGTCTTCAAACTTCTAGACAACGGATAACAGCCTGGCACCGCAATTTGAATAGGAAATGTTACTAGTGGACTCAGATGACGGACGGCATTATTGACTGATTGGCTGGTTTCCACATAGATATTTGCACAGATGTGCGGCAGTTCGAGTCACCACATTCCATGTAGCACACAAATCAGGAGAAAGTAAAAATAAATGCAAAATAGAGACAGTAAACAGAGGTGTGAGACAAAGGAAAAGTAATAACGAAGAACAATACGCTTTCATTGGAAATCATAAGTCACAAGGAGTGGATGCATCTACGCTAGTCATTAAGAACGATCACTTTGAGCCATATCATCAGTTGTCTCCAAACACTGGTGTTTACCGTCCCGAGGGCCTCAACCAAGAAGCCCACACCTTCCTACGTGGCTGGCTGGCTCAAACTAACTGTTGTGGATTCCATTGACTGGTGCCATGTTTCGGTTTGACCACCACTGGCTCTTTTCCAGCCTGATCCTATGTCAGCTAACATTGCCCGTAGTGGGGGCGATGACTAGGCATACGTAACACATGTCCTAACCATCTCACTTGATCGATGTAACTTCACAGCCTCGTTGATTGATTTTCACTCCTTACCTAGCACTCGACACCTAACCTCAGTACTGCTCATCCTATTATACCACTTTACACGGGAGACAGATAGCAGGCACCTATGATCAAAGACAGCTAGCCTTTTCATATCTCCCACTGTCAATGGCCAGGTCTCACAGCTATAAAGGAGGACAGAGTGAATCGCTGCTGAACAGCACACACGACCTTGGGTATACAACCAGTCGTATCTCACGTCTGCGCCAGAGACGGCGTAAACTGGCATATGCGTAGCTGGCCTTCTGTATTCGTACTGAGATTTCGTCAGCGGTCAACCTATTGTTGCTGGCTGATGCAACTTCCCAAATAATTGAAGTGGTCAACACGCTCCACCACTTCACTCCTATATTATAGTTCAATCTTGAAGCATCATCTTATATTTGACAGAGGGGGCGAATAGCATGCCAAACATTCGCAGGTCGCAGCTCAAGGTGTTCACAAGACTCTGAATTCTGTCAGCATCTTCACCTGGGACGGAGGGCTATGTCATCTGCATATTCTAACTCAACGAGATTATACCCTGGTAACAAGTCAATCTCTGAGTCACTAAAGTCAGCTCTGATTAAGTCCATTAGTACATCTATGATGAAATTAAAGAGAAATTGGGACAGTAGGTATCCCTGATGCGCACCACTAGTTGTCACCGCTTCAGATAACGACAATCCACAGGCTCTCACCTGGCTGACCGCGTCAGTTCGAGTAGAGTGTCTTGATCAGTGTGGTGTATTTTGTCGGCATTTCCTTCATAGTCAAACATCGCCATAGTAACTCTAGGTCAACAGACACGAATGCTGCCTTCGGGTCAAGAAATATGACGAATTTCGGACGCCGGCAATGTTTCAGAATCCGCTGAAGAGTGAAGATATCACCAATGCACCCTCTTCCTGGTCCAAAGAATGGCTGCTTCTCTCGTGTTTGTGCCTCGCGAACACCATTTAGTCTACGCATGACCACTGAGCCTGGAACTTTAGAAACCATATTAGTCAATCTAAACCCCCTGTGATTATAGCAGGAAGACTTGTCTCCCTTCTCATATATCGGAATAATTGCTTACACCAGCCCGACGGGACTCCTTCTGATTCAAAGACGCTGCCTAATACCTTAGTTAACGCAGATAGTAAACTGTCTCCACCGTCCTTGAACACTTCTAGAGTCATTCCATTGGGTCCTGCTGCATCGCCTCGTTTCAGATTAGAGACAGCTTTTGTAACCTCAGTTAGGGAAGGAGGACTTGTGGCTATATTCCATTCAGGGAGGTGTTGGATGCTGGGTATGTAGGGAGCGGCAGTAGGCCGATTAAACTGCTCCTCAAAGTATTCTCTCCAACGTTCTAGACGTCAATACGGAGAGCTAATTATGGTGCCAATCTCCTAAGAGATTGTTTCACTCATCATTCTCATTTTACCACCTGTTTCCCCGATAAGTCTAAATAGATGTCTGATATTGAATGCCGCCGATGCCTTTTCTACCTTCTTCCCATTTGTCGCCCACCAACACTGTTCGTGATCGTTACCAATAATAATATGTATTTTTTCCTGTTTATGCAGGAAAATACCAATTGTACAGGCATGGATAAGTTATAATATAAATTACACATAATTTGATGTATGATGAATTTACATTTTGGTTGCACTTTCTGAAATTAGAGCCAGTCGGAACAGCCTGTATAAGCCACGTCACGTAAACCCTCAATGCCCAGCTCTTGCTACGCTGGGACTCACGCTGTTCCTTGAAGTTTCTCAGAAACGCTTAGTAATAACGGACGAAAAAACCAAAACACCGATTGGCCACTCGAGAATTCTTTATTGTAACACCGACATATAAAGAATGTTATAACTAAGGTCTGTGAACAAATATTACAATAATAAATCACAATATTACTTCTGACGGTTTGCTACTGACTTCTTTCTGAACAGCGACCGATGAGACGATGACTGTCGTATTGATGCCTCCGCGAAAATTGGGGAAGTTGGTTTTGAGGAAACAACCATGAATTGATCGTTCAATCTTCAACTACATTGACATTGTTGTTATTGCATAATTTTGTTAAAATTTTCGTCGTGATTACTTCTGAAATTTTTTTTATTCGTCTACATTCGTGAATGAATCGGCTGATGTTAGAGACAGCAGATGGGTCGTTTACGCCGGGGAGGCTATTGATGAGAACGACATGCATACGGAGATTATGATTAGCTGTGATCCCACACGCCGGGGAGAAAGAGTGTAGA